TGTGTTGTTTTCTGTTCACATTCATCAGAACTAGCTGAAAAATTAGTGGGGTGATTTTAAATCAGCTGCTTTTAGTTTTAAGTTCACAGTCTGCAGTCACTAGACCTGACAACGAGATTACTAAAGATGTAAAATCGTTTTTGTTTTTCCCAATTGAGACCAGTTAATTTGCAGCTAAATCCTGCAAAGCTTTAAAAACAGTTGATTTGTCCTGTTTAATACAATATACCTTAGTTGTCTCCATCTATGTGAAGGATGGTAATGTGAAATGGTGAAAAGGGTAATGTGTTGAAGTTAATTATTACTTGTGAGAAAAGGAAACAAGGTTTATGGAAAAGGAAGTTAATGTAAAGCATTAATGTTGTGCACTGTTAAAGGTTTGTTGGTTAACAAATAAAGTAGATGCAATCTCAATGTTAAAAGCAGCACTTCGGTCGTCATTGCTCTCTCCTGTTTTATTATTCTTCAGATTGTGCACTTCACTGTTGCAGCGGTCCGGACACTTCGGACCTGTAACAGATTGTGGGTCTCTCTTGTAAATGAGTCCTCCTGGCTCAATGGGACTAACGTGTTTAAATAAAGGTTGAATGAAAAATGTGAGATCCAGTTTTTTTTTTAACAGCTATTACAAAACATGAACACACATCCCAGATCCTGGCATCTCTCTGTCGGTTTGGTGGGGGTTAAGGGCCTTGCTCAGGGGCCCAGAGTGGGGCGAATGAGGGTGGAGGCAGGTGTGGGTGTTTCACCTTTTCCTGCCCAAAATTTGATGTTGACGGTACCAGGAGTTGAACCTGTGACTTTCTGATCACGGGCCCATCTTCTAGCCTCTGCGCCACCACTCCCCCTCCCACCCGACTTATTATCAGACTTATGTGAGCTCATTAACATGTTCATGTCAGTAAGAGCACATGAGACAACCAGTCGATGTTCTAAGATCCAGACTAAAATATGGAGGCAACTGAACTTTTAGAGTTGCTGCTTCAAACCTGTGGAATAGTTTACCTCTTCATATATGATCTGATGAGAATGTTAACACTTAAAACTATAATTAAGACCTGCTTTTTTTTGGGGGGGGGGGAGGGGGGGTGGTTGTTGATCGAGGCAAAGTCCTGCCAGCCATTCGTTATCTTTTCGTCCTTTTTGAGCCACAGGGTTAATGGTGCCTATATCTAGAAGTCACTGTGTGAGAGGTGGGGAACACCCTGGACAGGTCTCCAGTCCATCACAGGGACCCAGAGACAAACAAAACAACCATTCACTCTCTCACTCACACCTAGAGACAATTTAGAGTTACCAATCAGCCTAACATACATGTTTTTGATCTGTATAAGTATCTGGAGAAAACCCACGCATGCACAGAGAGAACATGCAAACTTGAACCAGAATGGTCCCCCCGGCCGGGATTCTATCTTGCGACCTTCTCGCTGAGAGGCGGCAGCTCTACCGACTGCTCTATGTGCGCTGCCCTAGAGGCAAAATCTGAAATCCAGTTACAGATGTTGATTTTATTACGTTATGTGTTTTATTTTAGCTTTACCTTTGTTAAAAGCTTATACCTTTTTGCTTTCATTGTTGTCTTACATTTTTGTTCAACTAAAATTGTAGCGCACTTCGGTTAACTTTTATAGAATAGAATAGAATAGAATAGAATAGAATAGAATAGAATAGAATAGAATAGAAACAGCCTTTATTGTCCCACGGATGGGAAATTCAAGTATAACAGCTGCAACAGATAAAAAGATTTCACACAAAAGTTCCTAAATGTTAAAAACAATATATGAAGAAATAAGATAAACAATATCAATAATAATGATCAATATGTGTTGGAACATTGATAAGGACAAACTATTTACAGTACAGTATTATAGGCAGAGTGTGCGTTTTAGCCGAGGTCAGCATTTATTTAATCCGTATCGAGTTTGTTGGGAGCAGTGATGGTTGTAGAGTCTAACAGCTGCTGGGAGGAAGGACCTGCGATTATGTGCTATATTCATTTATTCAACCTTTATTTATACAGCTAGTCTCATTGAGCCAAGGACTCATTTATAAGAGACATTTTGATGTGCTATAGAAATAAAATCAACATTGACAAGTCTTAAAATGGGGTTCACTCTCAAATTTACAGCAACATTAATCACCAGTTACACAGGTTAAATTTTAAAAAGGGAAGTTAGTAAATGTCACTAAATTATGTCATAAGCTGATTTACATAAGCAATGCATCTTCATGTCTCATTTGCATTTTGCCATCTCGCTAGAACATTTGCTTCTTTCCTACTCTGTGTATGCAAATATGTTACATTAACAGAGCCAGTTTACCAGTAACGCTGCTTTCATGAACACATTTTTTTTTATGTTCCATGTTTATAATTTGTTTGTCTGAAGAAGAGACAATCCTGAAATTGTGACTGAAAGTGTAACGGTTTGAAGGAGAGATGTGAGAATGCACACAAACAGGAAGCTCGACTGAAAACTAAAATATTTTAATATTACAAACCTAGCAAAATACACAAAATAACAATACCATGATGCACAACAGAAAACTGGACAGAGCATGAAGCACGATGCAAGACTGCAGACTGACAGGGGAAGACTGGCAGACTAAAATAAATGAGGCTGATGAGGAGATTAGAGACAAGTGATGGAGAACAGGTGAGGGTGAGCGTGGCAGGACAGACGAGCAGAAACTAACTGAGGAACAGGAAAAACACAAAGGAACAGAACTAAACACAGAAAATAAACATGACAACCAAAAGGGAATAAATAACAACAAACACAAAGACTACCCCAAAAAAACACAGATCCTGACAGAAAGGCATGTGAAACCCGCCTGGCTCTAATTAAATCTATTTCATCTCTGATCATGGAGTTATTTAATAAAACTTACATTTACATAAGGTAATGACACAATCTTTGCAGTAGTTTTAGAAATATTTATAGGTATAACGGTTAAAAGTTGGAAGTGGCAAGAAGTCTCAGAGGTTTTCTGTAGCCTGAAGCTCAACTTCCTTCTCTGTGTCGTGCTAACAAGCTGAAATGTGGACACACCCTGTGGCTGGAGGATGTTCCCTCAGGTGCTGATCTCGGTGTGCAGACACAACTCGGCATAAGCTTTCAGTTTTGATGGTTAAGAGTAAAGCAAGTGGAAAGGGGATGCATTTTGTCAGTAACAGTTCTCCAGGAGGATAGAAGTACACTGATGTAACCCCCGTGGCACTGCTGCCACAGTGAGCTCGCCTCCTGCATATCACGCACTTGACCTCACATGGCACGCACAGAGCAGACAACTGGATCCTGCCCTCAGAGGGAAAATATCGGTGACTCCTTTCACTATAAGGAAGCTATGGTTCGAGCTGAACTGTTCTCACGTTATGATATGCATTCACCGTTAAAGAAAACATTGCTCACTTGTCACTTGAAACTGCCGCGGTAAGTTGAATTCACAGAAAATATGAACCCCATTTATGAACAAGATCCCACTTTAAACTATGCATTATATAACAGTGAAAAAGTAAAAAGAGTTTTCTTGCAATACTAAAATATATGAAAAGTTTTTGTTCCTAAAGCCCATTTACATTTCTTGTATTCACATGCCGAGCTGTTTAATATTCCACATGTACCGTAATTTTCAGACTATAAGCCACTACTTCTTTTAGCACGGTTTGAACCCCACAGCATATACAATGCTCTAATTTATGGATTTTTTAAATATATATTTTTTAATTGATGGGCTAACGAGCTTCATGCCGCCAAAACCTTTAGCCTCGTTACAACTGGGCGCTCACATAACTGCTCAGTACACATCTCACTTGGGAGGTGGGTCCTCATAACTCAATGAGACTGCTTGTATAAATAAAAGTAAAAAACATATTTGAACAGTGAAATTACTGAACAGGTCACAGTGGATCAATGAAATGGGGAGGGGAGGAGAAAACGAGGAGGGGGGAGAATCCTCCCTCCCCATTTTCTACCCACCTTTCAAGAGATATGTGTATTGGGCAGCTATATGAGCAACCGGGTGTGACGAGGCTAAATGTTTTGGTGGCATGAAGCACGTTACCCTATCAATAAAAATCCACAAATTAGCCACAATATAAGCTGTGGGGTTCAAAGCGTGTGAAAGAAGTAGTCAAGGAGACAAATGTCAAAGACAGCCCAAGTTTGCACAGGAGGAATATTTAGATAGTAATCAATGACTTCCTGGGAGGCTACTGTATTTTATTTTTAACCAGCCGTGTTACAAGCACTGTTCGGAAAAAATAAATAAATAAATTGCTGTACGTATTTGTGTATGTTGCTGGTACATATTTAATTAAAAGTTTTCAAAATCTTTCTGTGTAAATATTTCATGTTACAACATGAACACCCTTGGCTTATATATGTATAATTTTTTTTGTGGGCGTGGCTTTTATTTGGATGCGCTCAATATTCTGGAAATTATGGTATTTCATTTTTTCATCCTGTGTAAAGCATCATGTTGCCTGATTCATCTTTTCACTTGTCAACAAGCAGCTTTGACAGATATGAGCAGTACAGCTGAATGCTTCTGTACAAAAGTAAAATGTACTCCCAATTTACACTTTTCACCCTGTTTAGTACACATTTAAGTCGGTCTTTTTTATTTTTTATTTTTTTGTTAAAGTGACTTTTACAAGTGTGCACACTAAAATCATGTGATCCACAAAGTCTTGTTACTAAAATGTTGTTTCTTTTGTCTTTTTTCAAATACATCAAAAAAACATGCAAATTAAAATGAATATTCAAACTCTCTTGGTAATTATTTTCTTGTCATGCACTGATTTATTACAATTCTAAAGAAAGAGATGGACACTGTTAGCTATAGTCACAGCTCTAAATATGTGTGTACTGAAATCATAATGTGAAGAGAAATTACACGATCAAGACGTTTAAAGTAATTAATGATAAATAGATTTGCCTGCTCATTTCACCTTAAATGTCACAATAAATATTTAACTGTTTAGCAGTTTTCTGGCTTACCTTGCGTGTCCCCATATGGCTTTGGTGGTTTGGCAGTCTCTGTTTTACTGTTCGTGGACTTAGTGGTGCTCTTGGATGTTGTTGTGCTCACTACAGTGAACGTCCTTTGGGAAAGCCTTGGAGTAGTGCTAGTGGTTGTTGCCACTGTGGTAAATGAGGCCCTGGTGGACAGTGTTCCATTGGGTTCCACTTTGCCTTCCTCATATATACTATCATTCCCCGTGGGGCCCCATTCAATATATTCAGACACTGTGGTAGTCCGGCCCTCTTGAGACTTGTCAAAGCTGTCCCATTTGAGCTGCCTCCTGGCTCTAATTAACACTCTCCCGCTTGATAAAACCACTGAATCTTCTGCTATTCCAGCCAAAGCATCGGCTGTCTCTGTTTGAGAATATTTCAACCGGCACTCCTTACACGCTGTTTGTCCTTTAAGCTTTCTATGCTTTTGAATTTTAACTTTTGGCCAAATCCCGGCCCTGTTGTCTTGGGGTGGAGGAACAGGGTTGAGAAGCCGACGCGCTAATGGGCTCACTGTTCTCCAGTGAAGCTTGTTAGGCATATCCCAGAGAGGCTGCAAGCGAGGCCGGGACCGAGGCACCGATTTAGGCACGAGTTTGATGCCCAGTCCCTGACTGAGAGGGCTGCACAAAGAGAAGTCCAGGGTGAGGTGAGTCATGGCCAACAGGATCCACACCCAGTGCCCCACGCAGCTGCCTGGCCTCAAAGCAGAGGAACTGCAGACGAAAACAAAAAGAGATAAGTTGTTTGAGAGTTAGTTAAGAAAAAAGAAAACAAATACATTTTACACTCTCCCACCTTTTAGTTATCAACTGTTAATATTAGCATCTGTACTTATTGCAAAGTTTTGCTCAACAACTTCTTGAACTCAGTTAAGCTTGGCGAATAATTAGTTTTACAAACTGCCTTTTTTAATTACAGCAGAAAGGTCAGTCACAAAGTAAAAGCAGCTGCTGAAGATCAGGAAGATTCTGAATTTACACCCTATGCTTTGAACCGTCACTGGCAACAAGCAATTTTCCTTAATGTTACAGATTTATATCTATCCAGGGAAGATTATACCAACACGCAAGGTCAGGGATGCATCAGCTGATCATCATATTCTGCATTATTACACAAAGTCATCTGATTCCCAAAGGGCAATTTGATTATGTACAGTTATATTCAGGATGTATTTTTTCTAGAAGACACACTATGACATAATACAGAAACTTAGCGTGCCAATTTACAGAATGGCAATAGGCAGTCATTGTATCAGAACTTCACTTCTGAAGGCAAGGTGACAGATGAGCTATGTATTCAGGCAGTGGGCAGTTTTTCAAGACAACCTTCAGTGGCCCCTGGACAAAGCCACACATTGATTCCTGAAGGAGGAACCTTATTATGGGCTATCTTTAATCTCTGTCGTCCTTGGCTACTTTAAGCCCACAAGGAAAGCTCATTTTAGGAGCATCACCGAGGTGGTGACAGACGGAAGAGTGCAAACAGGTTCATCAGCATGGCGGCACAATGATTTTTGTTGATGCATGATTGTAAAGCATGTTTGTGTGAGTCGATCATGTGGCTTCGTTGTTGTTTATTGCATTTTTAATGAGATGGCATGTACATATAAGAGAAAATAAAATGTTGTAGGACTACACAGATTTTAAATATATACGTTGCATGCAAACATTTTATTATATTCATTAGACTTGAATGTTTTATCAATGAGGTGGTTCAATTGATGCTTTGAATATTATTGTTATTATTATTATTATTATTAGACCTTTATGTATACACGTTAGTTACCATTGAGCCTTGAAGACTCATTTACAAGAGATACCTGTTACATATACAGCTTATACATGTACTGTTTATACAACAATTGTTTGGACCTCTGCGTCTGCCTTCAACTTCTGCTGGTACACTCAATGGTGATCCAAACAGCCAGAATTAGTGGACATTCTGCCCAGTCCATGCTCGATTTAACATTCTCCATGATTGAATCCTTCATGCTGGCATATTCCAGGAACCGTAAGTGTCCTATGATTTTCAGAAATCACGTCCAGCTTGCGGTTGAGCTCAGTAAGCGTATGAGTTTGAGAGCTCGAGGCACGGATTAATCCTTCACATAAGGCTGGCAGCTTTACCATGGCCGAAACTGCTGCTGACGTCTTCCTAATTTGTTAATATCCCTGCCGATTCCAAAAAGCGGAAACCCTGTTATCATAAATCCAGTAATGTACACAGTTTCTACATCCTCCACAGACAGCACAGGTAGGCGCACCATCTTCCACTCACTCCAGGGATCAATGATATACCCAGCTGCGTGGGTCCATTCAGGGCATGAGGGCTCTCCAACACCCTGTTGTCTGGTGGAAAAAATGTTATCTATTATGTTGAGGGACCAGTTGACCAAATCCATAATAATTTTCTGTTTGGAAGATGTGTAAAGAGAGGCTCTGAGGTTAATAGAACAACAGCAAAAAAGCAGGAGGGAAGGAAGGAGGGTAAGGGTGACCATCTTTGTCGAAGACGAAAGAGAGAATGTGAAAGAAAATGAAAGTTAATTCAGTATTTTCTTTACTGTGAGCAAAACGGCTCAAGATTTTTAGCCTTTTTAATTTTTGTGTACAACATTTGAATTGATAATGACAGAATTACTCATGATTTTTATAATTCGCTGCCGAGGGATGTGTGAGTGAACAAGCCACCGACTGAGTATAATTTTAGAATGGCATTTTAATTGAGCCGTAAAAAGTGACTGATTTGATCACCAAAAAGCTCTGACAAGGTCAGTGTAGTATTGACAGTTAAGAATATGGGTGATAATTTGTCTCGTAAGAGCTTTGACCCTGACATCCAACTGGGATTTGGCATATGTCCAATCCGCAGGCTCCGGATGACTCAGGTTTAACTCCGTGAGCCAAATGACTGAAACAACCAATATGGGAAGTGCTTGTTGCTTGCCATTATTAACATTAGTTTACAACAAGAACAATAGAGCTGTAAATGTTTAGGGTTTCTTAAACACTTAGCTTTTAATCCTGAGCTCGAGAAAGACTGTAATGAAAAGTAACAGAGATAAAAAATATATCCATATTATCAAGTTTAGTGCTTAATGAAATTCCATCCATCCATTATCTTTTACCCACTTCTTCTTTTGGGGGGTCACTGGTGTCCATAGCCAGCAGTCAATGTGTGATAGGTGGGGGACACCATGGACAGGTCTCCAGTCCATCATGGAGACAAACAACCATTCACTCTCTCACTCACATCTAGGGAAAATTTAGAGCTACCAATCAGCCTAACATGCATGTGTTTGGTATGTGGGAGGAAACCGGAGTACCCGGAAAAACCTCACATGCACAGAGAGAACATGCAACTCCACCCAGAATTTGATCCGGCAACCAACTGAGCCACCTTAACACAATTTATTATTAAAAAAAGACGTTTAGCTGTTTCACGAAAAATCAACTTAATATCAGATTGTTCTAATTCAAATATTAAGCTTTTTCTTTTTTTACACATTAACATTTACAAAACAGTATTGAGAGCATAGCTTTTTATCTAAAAACTTAACATTCCTAATTTCAAGAAGGATAACAATATTATTTTTAAATATTGGTATCTTTGGAAAGGAAACATTGTGAAATTGTACAGTTCCACCTGGGCGGATGTGGCTGAGTGGTTAGAGCAGTCGGCCTCTAATGCAAGAGTTGGGGGTTCGATTCCACCAGCAGTCGAAGTGTCCCTGGGCAAGACACTGAACGCCTCATTGCCTCCGATGTGTGATGTGATGTATGAATGCGATGAAGCACTGATTATTCTTTTAATAGATCTAGTAGAGTGATGTATGAATGGGTAAATGAGGGCACAGATTGTGTTGTAAAGAGCTTTGAGAGTCTTGATTAGATAGAAAAGCTCTATATAAGTACAGTCCATTTACCATTTACAGTTCAAATCACCACTATAGTTTGTCTAAAAATCCCAAATATGAGTTTCTACATATCATTTCTGACCTCTCTAAGTGTCTTTAAGAATCTGTTGGACTCCTGGCAGGGACCAATGCAGACATGTTCCTGTTTTTAGTTTTCTACATTTGTCTTGGAATCTAGCTGTTTTTTGTTTTGTTACCTTTTTCCTTTTAGCCATCCTATTTGTTAAAAAAATATATATATATATATCTGTAGTATGAGTTTTTTATAACTGTTTATTGTTGTTGCTGTTGTCCATTGTTGTCATCTTTCTTTGTTGAAATCAGGTCTCTCTTGTAAATGAGTCCTCGAGGCTCAATGGGATTTACCTGTATAAATAAAGGTTGATTGATTTATTCTTTTGTTGATGTTTGTTTGTTTGTTTGTTTGGGGGGGGCAGCAGTGTTGTTAATATCAATGTTTATGCTTACTACAACTGCCAAACATACGAAAATTCAAATAAATCTTTTGGGCATTAAACAAACCAAAACAACCTTATTAAATTATGAAAACAGTAAGAACAGTTTTCATTTTCCGAACAAGTTCAGCACTCAGAGGCTACAAACTGAACTGTAATAGCCAGTTTTTATTAAATATTTTCTAAATTTATTGACAATCTAGCAATTTTATTTTATTTATTTACTTTAAAGGCCTACTGAGTTGTATGCATGTTTTTGGACTTAAAGGAAATCGGAGTACAGAGAGAAAGCACTTGCAAACTTGAGGAGAACATGCAGACTCCATACAGAAAGATCCCATGGTTCAAACCAGAGCTTGAGCTCAGGACCTTCTTGATGTGGAGCAACCTTTTAAGCTGTTTGGTTTGCTCAACATGTTTTATTAATCGGGTAATGTGTGCAGACTATAATGAAATGATAATCTGTGGTCTCCAGATATTTTAAATATAATTAGTAGTCATGCTTTATTTTGTAATTTCATAATAAAGTGTAGTAGTGATTAGAGCAGGTGCACCTCTCAGCCTTACTATGTGGAGTTTGTGCATGTTGTACATGGGGGTCTTTCTCCGGGTGCTGTTTTATTCCAAAACACCAAAAACATGCACGCTAGTTTAATTGGTCATTCTAATTATTTTCCATCTGTGTAAATGAGAGTGTGAATGGTTTGTCTCTATGTGTCTCTGTGATGGACTGGAGACATGTCCAGATGTCCCGCGCCACTCGCCCAGTGACTGCTGGAGATAGACACCAGTTCCACCCATGACGTGGAAAAGAACAGGTTAAAGAAAATGGACGGATCGATAGATGTTAAACTGAGGCTTTTTATTTTATTTAAGAACTAATTTTTAAAATGATAGTTTTGTCAAACTTAAATACCCCCTCCCCGTCGCCTATGTCAAAAAAGTAACTAACTTTTACTCAAAGTAAAATTTTTAATAATTCCTTTTTACTTTTATCTGAGTAAATTTTTGCACAGGTACTTTAACTTTAGAGTAACAGTACTTTTACTTGAGTACATTGTTTTAGAACTTTTTCCACTCGTGCACAAAACCAACTATAACTAAGTTAATATGAAATACAGTATATTGGTTATATATTGGTTAGTTAGTAGCTGAGCAACTTTCTGGTTTCATTTGTATTTTGTTCGCAAACTTTCACATATCCAAGTACTGCCAGAGTACTGGTATTTAGAAAAGATACAACTTGCATAACTGCAATCACAACAGCACATGCTGAAGATAAAATATTCTAGCTGCAAGTAATATTTCCTAAGAACTTCACTTTGATAATTTAAGAACCACT